GGCCTGCTGTTTTTTTTTTTATTGGACTTAGATAGATAAGCGTATACACTTATCTAAATACGTGACGTATACGTCACGGAACACCGTGAACTCTGAGTATTGATATGTGGTGCTAAACCAACGTTCAGGCTCATTGGCGTTTTTTTTTTTTTAATCCTAGGTAGATACTTACGAGGCAAACACAATAACAATTATCTCTTTATTGATTAGCGAATGTTTCTAATTATTTTTATTTCGTAGTTTAACCTAAAAACAATCAAATTAAATCTTCCTCTCAGTATTCTTGCAAACTTCTACGACTTCTGGTCCTAGAGCTATATTCGGATATTCCGAATTTAACTTCTCTGAGTGACTCAGAAGCAGCAGCGTTCCCTGGGGTACCGGTCTGCTTTGAGCAAACAAAACAGCGGCAAACGGGGCAAACGGAGCCACAGAGCTGAGATCCGAACAACGGAGTTCTATATAGGCGGCAAGACACCGAGCCTAAGACGGATCGGCATGACGAGAACGGCTTTTGAATGATTAGGTATTAAACTTCGCCATACTTTGCTGTAGACTTGTTATCGTAATCTGGACTCAGGAGAGCATCTCTAATATATATTACATTTATTTGCGCTTAGATGCCGACCTTCAAAATAATTGGTCCTGTGGTTTGATAAGCACATCGGATAACGAAGGCACCTCGTTACGGATAAGAAATGATGACTCACAATTAAACGAATGTCAAAACCGTGCACCGTGCAGTGTCAGACTGCACAGTTACAGTCAAAATTAGCATTGACATTTCAACTATCCTTCTTGGTTTTTACTGTATCGATTGATTTCGTATTGCACGTGCATCGGATAAACAACACGTGACTGGATTCCTGGAATACAGAAATCCTATTCCGTATTCATTTCGTGCCGTTCAGACATTCCAGGCACGCCTCTAATTTAGTGGCCGCTTAAGTTGTCGGATGACGTATGAAGACGTTTCTTGCTGATGACTTCCCAGTTGTGTACCTCGGGGGTTACGGGGCCTTTTAATAAAACGAATGTTTGACGCTTAAATAGTCCGGTCGACCGGTTGGTCCCATAGCTGATTATCTACATAATTACGCCTCTGGTGGAGTCGTCATCTGACTCCTCCAGCCGCCTCCAGGCTCCCCTGGAGGCCCGAGGCTGTCATGCACCAAGGTGAGAAACTGTGCAGAGTCCCCCCCCCCCCCCTTAGCGCGGTGCGCCGCACCTTCTAACCCCGCTGTCACTGACGGATAGGCGCAGGTGTGAGCCGCAGTCTCACCCGGCTGCAGCCTGTCGGCTTCACAGTTATGTCTGCTCGAGCCTCGACAGCTCGGTGAACCTCACAGTTCTATCTGCGCCACAGCCCTGTGAATCTCACAGTTCTGTCGGCCCACAGTCCTGTCAGCCACACAGTTTTGTCGGCCCCACGGCCCCACAGTCCCGTTGGCTCCACAGCTCGGTCCAAGGCCGGCCGGCAGCTCGCTGCGGGTGCTACCTATAACTGCGAGCTGGCAGTGATGGCTGCGGGTTTCTAGAGGTGCCGAGATGCGGGTCCATGAGGAGAAAAGGTCGCATCTTTGTTAAAATGTTATCGACCGGGTCTGATCTGATCATGGGTGACTCGTAAATGCGATAATAACCGCTTGTTTTTACTCTTGATCCATACATCATTCATGATTCGGTCGGTGAATGAGCTCATCCATGTTGGGTTGCCCGTTTAAACACCTTCTGCAGCTGAGGTGTCGGTAACATGATTATTATGTCACTGACTTAGGTCATGATGGTGAGGCGTTTTCCTGCCTGTAGCCGTGATAGGTATATACCTTGTGTCCAGCGACGCACTGTCCCATAGTTAGCCTTCACCTGGCTAGGGAGCGGGGGGGGGGGGAGGGAGTAATTGATAGAATCAAGGATATTTCGCTGATAGCTGAAAACTGTGTCTCGACGTTGTACGTTTTTATAGTTTAATAGTTTTATTTAATCGCTTATATAGTTTTAAATTGTGCAACATTTGTAGCGCAATTTGTCATTTTTAACGAATGCGGCTGGCTTATTCGCATACAGCGTGCTTTTATCGTCTGCACGAAGCTTTGGCGACACTATTGTTTTCGTTGGCGACACAACAGTACTCGAATGATTTCATTCATGACCTGGCTTTGTGAATGCCACGCTGTGAGGACAGATCATGTCCCACAATTCCCAGATAAACATTTTAACGGCTCATAAAAGTTGAATCACCGTCTAAAGCCATGACGCGAGACTCGCTCTGTCATGATTTAGAGCTTACTTCGGATTTTATGTGTGTCCATCCACGATACGGACTTGTACCGCCTGCACCGTTCCTTTGTCGTCCGTCGTCGATCGGCCTGCAATCCGTTCCCTTTTCTCCGCACTCCGTAACCGCTGTGCCATTTGTAATGACCACTTACCTATACGGTACATCTACACTTCGTTATTTGTGCTGACAAAGTCTCACTCACCAATCGCGTCCCGCTCTGCCATTGCCGTTTCCGTGCCGATAGCGGCAGACGGCATATCATTCTGTTCTTGTGCCTGCTTCTCGCTGTTCGCTTTCTCTAATACTCTCTCTCTCTCTCTCTCTCTCTCTCTCTCTCTCTCTCTCTCTCTCTCTCTCTCTCTCTCTCTCTCTCTCTCTCTCTCTCTCTCTCTCTCTCTCTCTCTCTCTCTTTCTCGGTGTACTTCTTCGTTTATCTCAACTCCCCCCACTCTCCCTCTGCCCTGCTTAAACCGTCCGTCTCAGCCAGCCCTTCTCTGACCCCCATCTCCTCCTTTTCCACAGGAGGTGGACGAGGAGACCGTTGACGAGGAGTCGGCCGTGTCAAAGGCCAACCGGACTGCCGGCGCCACGGCCCAGTCGGAGCAGGACCTCAGCCGGCCGCTGGGCGCCGCCGCCGCCAGCGCTCCGATGGCCGTGCCGGCGGGGCCGCGCAGTCGCGCCCCCGTCGAGAGCGACTCGCCGCCTGACGGAGACGCCGAGGACACCTTCCCCGGCTACTCGCTGTCACCGCGCCATGGCCGGCCGCGCGGACGACCCCGCAAGTCGATATGACGCGTCGGCCGCGTGCTCCCGCCTGTGATAGACGCTGCCGTCACCGTCGGTCTCGACGGTCCCGTGCCGCCGCCGACGTGGGCGACCCACTTCGCGACGGGCCCAAGGAAAACACGGTACCTCCGACCGCGCAGCCGCCGTCGCCACCGCCGACGCTCGGGGCTGTATTTTTAGTCGTGCAACGTGGCCCGAGAGGTGGTGGGCGGAGGACGCGGGGAGGGCTGCCCGGAGGAGGCCGAGCTAGTTCACAGCGCGGCCGCCAGGTGGCGGGGCAGGTCACGGTCGCCAGGTGGCGCTCAGGTCGTCGAGGTGAAATGGATTTCGGCGGTAGGAGCGTCGTGTGGAAACCTGTGACGGTTGCCGACGCCAGCGCAGCACTAACACTAGCGCGGCCGGCGAACAAGTGCGTCGAAGTGCCTGTTTTATCGTAGTGTCGGTGGTTAACAGAATCTACAGGCGCTGAGCTGTCCCTTCTGGTGCTGTGCGAGGGTTTGCGGAGGCCTGTGACCATTTCTCTGTGAAGTCAGGTGTATGCTAACGCATGTGCTGTCCTAAATGCAGGTGTCGCTTTAGTTTTGTCGCTGGCACTCATGGTAGGTAGTGCGAAGTTTCCCTCGGTCTTCGCAAGCGCAGTGAGCTTGTGATTGTCCAAAAAACGAAACACATAAGAGCGAACCCATGTTTTGCGTCACCGGCAGCCACAGCAGCCAGTGGACATTTCAGCCTGACGTGACTATAGGTTAATATCTATCTGTCCCAATGGGATATTTGTCGAACCGAGCAGCCACTTCCACGAGGCGTGAACTGTGGATGACGACGAATCGGTGTGAAACCGCTGACCAAATGTCGGGTCGGAGCTCTGTGCGCGCCTGTACTTAACACCTGTACTCTGTGCACGTTAGGCGTCACTGACGGAGGGCCTTGGGCTTGGAACCGTTCTGGGAGTCGATATCGCGCCCCAACTCTCTGCTGAACCGGATGTGACCAACTGGCTCGGCCGTCCACCCAACTGTCGACACTCGACAGTTCCAAGTTCCAGCCAGCCGGTAATATCCGTGGCCCGTCAGGTTGCGAATCTCCGCTGGAGATCTAACTAATTACCAGCACAGAATAGCCGAGAACGGGACCTTGCCTAGACAGCGGAACCCGAAGGCGAAATCCGCTCCCGAGAGGTGTGCCAACTTGTCTTGTGCGCGAGCATGTTGTGTGTAAGAGCGAGTCTCGTGCACTTTGACGTCGTGTGCGGGTCGCTGTGAAAAAACGGCGACCAGGGGCGGCTGGTGAGTGAGCTGGTGAGCTGTACCCGTGCTGCAGCTGGTTGGTCGGTCGGCCCGAAATGTGCAATGTGAGGCGTGGCGAATAAATGCTTGTGAAGTGGTGTAACGAAGCTGATTATTAGTGCACTTCAGCGGCGGGATGTCAATAGCAAAGCGTATTTACGTGAGCCGTTGACCATTGCTGATGAGATTTTCAGACCGACGCCTGTGTGTTGCCCTCCTTGACCTGTCTCGTCTATACGCCGCAGAAGTAGAGTCCCAGGAAGCTCAGATGATGACAGTCCCGCCCCGCGCTCAATGCGCCTCTTTCGTGATCAACACTGTCTGGGCAGGCCCTTCTCCCTTCCCGAAACATTGCGTCAGATTGCGGATACCGCTCCGTTATAGCGCCTCAGGGAGGAGGGGACAGATAAACAAACGGTTCGTGACTCACAGCAGACCGCGCCGTCACAGGTGGCACCGGTAGCGTCACGACGTGGGAAGTCGAGGCCGTTACTCAACGTGAAGTGACTCAGACATGATCTTCACCTGAGCGGCTAGCCGGAACTTGCCACATAAATAACGAGACAGGATAAACATTTCAAAAGTTAGCTCAGCTGCGTTTATGTCCTCGAAGAAAGCCCTGTGCGTTGGCATGCAAAACTCATCTGTCATGACTATGACGCATGTATTATCGCTGAGTGACCCGCAATCCTGGACGCAAAGCTGGAATCACCAATCACTGCCCAGCTTGAATGCATCAACGTGATCAACAAAACCCCACCCAAATGAAACCACTAGCACACCAACACACTAACATAAGACATTGTCAAAGAAATGGGCCGTCCTGAGCGCTCGACTTTCGTGGCTTTGTCAAATAGGTTTCACGTCAAGTGAACATCAACGCATTTTCAATGTTTGCTGGATATCATATTGAATCAAATCCCGATGAAACAGTCCGAAAGCGAAGCAAGAAAGCATAAAAAGGGGCGTGTTTTGTACTCAAAGCCACATACCCCAATCAGCGTTCGACAGAAACGACCCACCGTCAGGCGTTGGTGACAAGTGCTGACATCTATCGACAAATTACGCTACTGACCACCCGTCGGGGGAAAATTACCGATAGTCAACTCATGAACGCTCCAATGTTTCCGCGAGCCACAAGCAGCCAATGCAGCAAGGTCCACTCCTAGACAAACATATGCATATTATCCTGCCACAGTGCACACGTATACGGAACACACACATGCCATGACCCGGTGATGTGAAACACCAATCCACTGAAGTAACAAATGCTAGGTCGAGTTCCGGCTGACGACTGCACGGGCTCTCGCAGGGTCAGACAGTAACTATCGCCCGGGATCGCAGACACTCCCCAGAGCCACTCAAGGGGAGGGGATGCCACTCGTCAGGCACCCACCCCGTCCCGGGACTAGACTGTCTCACTCGCGGCAGTAGCGGGCTCACTCGCGGCAGTAGCGGGCTCACTCGCGGCAGTCGCCGGTGCGCCCTCTGACGGCCCATTACTGTCGCTCACGGCAGTGTTCATAGTCACAGGCGCACTGTTTTTCGCCGCGGTAGCGTCACTTTTTGTCTCTGCGACTTTGTCACCACCGCCACCTCCGCCAGCGTCCACGGACGAGGAAGAGTCACTCGCCTCTGTCCCCTCCCCGCCCGCGCCGCTCTTTCCCTCTGCCTCCGCCAACGAGCGCCGCACCTCCTCACGATCCACACGGACGATTTTGCCGCCGCGGATAGCGTAGAAGTCAACCTTCTCGACGGTGCCGTGGCGGCTGAGCACCAGGCCGCGTCTCTCGGCGGTCAGCTCGCTGATGGCTCCGTTCTCCAGTGTGTAGAACACCTCAGGTGGGGGAGTCGGCTCCTTACAGCGCTCAGGGGATGAGCGGCGCGCCCTGCGGGGCCGGCCAGCCGCCTCGGCCGGCAGTCCGTTCCGCACCAGGCGCCGTCGCCGTGCCTCTCGTACCGCCTTCAGTCTCAGCTCTGTCTTCCGTTGGCGAGCTCGACGGGCGGCGCTGGCCGTCAGCGCAGTCCCCGCACCGGACTTTTGGTCAGGGCTCGGCTCCGGCTCAGATTGGTCTGCGGACGTCTGGGTCTTCTGTTCGGCCTCAGTGCTGGTTTGAGACTGTGAAGGTTGCTCACTCTCAGCTGTTTGTTCAATTTCCTGTTGAGCTGATCCGGTTTCTTGCTCTCCGCCCTCATCCGTTTCTAGTTTTGCCACTTTCTTCTCTGACTCGGCTGACAGTGCTGGCTCAGGATCTTCGGCGAGTGCACGCTTTTGTCCTTGGTCTGGTTTTTCATTGTCCTGATTTACTTCTGGTTCCACCTCTGTTTGCTTCGTTTCGGTTTTGTTCTCCAGGTCAGGTTTGTCCCCTTGCTCTGACTGATCTGGCTCCAGGTTCTGTTTTGCCTGTGATGTGTTCACTTCGCTCGGCTTCCGGTCACACTCTGCTCCTTGTGCCGGACTGGACTCCATCTCCACATCCGGGCTTTGTTCAGATGTCTGTTTCTGTTCTACTTCCAAGCTGGGATTCACCTCCTCAGAAGCGCTAACAGGCTGATCTGATTCCGGTGTCTCTTTTGGCCCTGATACAGCCTGCGAGTTTAATTTCTCTTCTACATTTTCTTCAAACTTGGAATTCATCTCCGACGTATACTTCTGATCCACATCTACGCTAGATGGTACGTCTGCCTTTTCTTGCAACTCTGTATTATCCGACGTAGACTCCCGCTTAGGTTCGGATGTTGACGTCTCCTCCACCTTGGTCTGCGTAGACGAACCAGGCTTATCAGAATCTGCCGTCTCCATCGGCTCTGAGTGACCGGTGGATTCCTGGTCCTTGCCAGACTCTGGCTTTTCTTCCGCCTCTGGTTTCACGTTGTGCCCTAGGTCAACTGGCTCAGCTTTGGAATCAGATTCCAGACTTAACTCGGGCTTCTCAGCAGGTTCGGAGTTTTGTTCAGGTTGTGAGGTTTTTGTCATGTCACGCTTTGCTTCTGGTTCAGGTGACTCAACCACCACTGGCTTTTCGTTCGACTTTGACTGCCGATCAGGCTCTGATTTCTCGACAGATTCTGGTGGCGCTTGAGGTGAATCAGGTTTCGGTTCCGTCGCTTTCGGCTCGGCCTTTGGCTTCAAATTCGTATCTGGTTTGCATTCCGACTCTGTCTCTGGTTCGGGTTTGGTAGCTTCGGTAGCTACAGCAGGCTTTGCTTCAGTTTCTCCCATTATAGGAGTTTCTTCAGGAAGAGATACTTTTTCTTTCTGATCCGCAACCTTCGGGGCAAGGTTATCATTTTCCAAAGCATCCTTCACAATCTCATCAGCAGCACTTGGCTTCTCATTCGATGTAACTTGTTTATCCTTTGAGGTGCTCTCTTCCGAGGGTTTCTCGATTTTAGAATCCTTCGCCGTATCAGCTTCCTCATTTTCCGAAGGATCCTTCACAACCTTATCAGCAGTACTTGCGTTCGCCTTCAGTGTAACTTGTTTATCCTTTGAGGTGCTCTCTTCCGAGGGTTTCTCGATTTTAGAATCCTTCGCCGTATCAGCTTCCTCATTTTTCGAAGGATCCTTCACAACCTCATCAGCAGTACTTGCGTTTGTCTTCGGTGTAACCTGCTTATCCTTTGAGGTGCTCTCTTCCGAGGGTTTCTCGATTTTAGAATCCTTCGCCGTATCAGCTTCCTCATTTTTCGAAGGAGGATCCTTCACAACCTTATCAGCAGTACTTGCGTTCGCCTTCAGTGTAACTTGTTTATGCTTTGAGGTGCTCTCTTCCGAGGGTTTCTCGATTTTAGAATCCTTCGCCGTATCAGCTTCCTCATTTTTCGAAGCATCCTTCACAACCTTATCAGCAGTACTTGCGTTCGCCTTCGGTGTAACTTGTTTATCCTCTGAGGTGGTCTCTTCCGAGGGTTTCTCGATTTTAGAATCTTTTCCTGTACCAGCTTTCTCATTTTTCGAATCATCCTTTACAGTCTTATCAGCTGCAGTGCTCACCTTCGAAGTAGCCTTTTGTTCGCTGGAAGTGTTCCCTTCCGAAGGTTTCTCGACTTTAGATTCTTCCGCCGTGTCAGCTTTTTTAGGCGAGCCGCGACCATCTCGAGACGGATTTGCCTTCCTACCGCCCGACTTCGAGTCAGGCAGCTCGGCCTTTTCCCTCTCTGTCCTCGAACCCCCGTGCTGCCGCTCTCGGTCGTCTCCGTTAGTCAATTTCTGCGGCGCGTTTCCCGGCGCCGTTTCACCCTGGTCGTCCGTCTTGCTGCCGCCGCTGACCCTCCGCGGATTACCGTGCCGGTCCCGGTATCCGGACACGACTCCGGACGCCAGTCTGGCTCCTTCATTCTTAATCCTGACATTCCCATGGCGATCGTGGGTCTCGTCCCGTGACGACCGCGCGTGTCCCGCCGACCCCGCCCTCGTCGGCTCCCTGCTGCGCCGGGAACGGTCTGCTGACCGGCCTCGGCCGGCCGAGTTACGCCGGTTCCTCCTCGATGGCTGATTTTGGGACACTCGAGCCGGTGACCTGCGGTCTCGCCCCCTCGACCGGCTTCTCGACCGTTCCAACTCTGGGCTGAGAGGGAACAGCGACAGCAGACTGGGCCCATCCACCGGCGGCTCAGGAGACCTCTCGCGACGCGGTGCGACTCGGTCGCGTGACCTGCGCGCCGCCAGGTCGTCCATATCCGGGGTGATCCTCTCACGGCTGCGCACGGATCGGCTACGGTCGGAGCGGCTGCGCTCCAGGGAGTGTGCGCCGCGGCTCCTCTCCTCCGACACACTGAGCTGTTCGGGCGGGCCGAGCGGACGGTTCAGTGCCTTCATGAGCAGCGCGTGCGGACTGACGCGGCCGCTGGCACCCGACTCGGGCCGGTTCAGCGCCTTCAGCAGCAGCGCGTGGGGGCTGCTGGGGTCCTCAGGCGGCTTCAGAGAGTCCTTCAGCAGCGAGAGGGGACTGGGCACCCGCTCCCCGCTCGTGCCCGCATAATCCTCAGAGTGTCCGATCCGCTCGTGACTTCTGCGCTCGCGGCTCCTTCCCTCCCTGTCGGGTCTTCGCAACGATCGCTCGGCTCTCAAGCGCTCTCTCCTAAGCAATCTTTTAGGGCTCATTGAATCCCTTCTACTTCGCTCGAGGCTCCTTCGCTCTTCAAACATAGGTTCAGGGATCCCTGGTTCGAGGAGACCCAGCTCCCCACTCAGTAACCGCTCAAGACTCGGTTCTCTAACAAGCGTTTCCTCGGGACTCCGATGCCTGCCCAATGTTCGTTCTGGACTTCGAAGCCTGTTCCGTACTCGATCTGGGGTCCTTCGCCTGTAGCTTGTTCGCTCCGTGCTCGATCCCCTTTCAATGTCTCGTCTATCCCTACCAAATCTTCGTTCTGGGCTCCTTTCTCTGCCTTGCCTTCGATCTGCGCTTCTTTCTCTGCTTCGTCTCCGTTCTGTGCCTCTTTCTCTGCTTCGCCTCTGTTCTGTGCCTCTTTCTCTGCTTCGTCTCCGTTCTGTGCCTCTTTCTCTGCTTGGTCTCCGTTCTGTGCCTCTTTCTCTGCTTCGCCTCCCTTCTGTGCCTCTTTCTCTGCTTCGCCTCCGTTCTGTGCCTCTTTCTCTGCTTCGTCTTCGTTCGGGACTTGGTCGCCCCATGTAGCGAATCGGACTCCTCCGTTGCACCGGGGAACGCCGGTGTTCCGACTCTTGTTCAGAGTTCCGCCTTTTCACAGTTCTCCCTGGACTTACTCTTCGCTCTCTACTTCTCGAGCGGCGACGGTCATCATCATCAGGCGAGCGTCTGTGGTGCCTCCCGTCTAGCGGAGAGTGCGAACGGCTGCGAACCACGCGGCGTACTGGCGAGTGCTGGCTCCGCTCTGGAGCTAGCCGACGGACAGGCGGGCTCCGCTCCGGAGCTACCCGACGGACAGGCGGGCTTCGCTCCGGGGCCACGCGATGGACCGGTGGATACGGGCTTAACTCTGGCGCCCCGCGCGGGTCCGGCGGGCTGAGCTCCGGAGCTACGCGATAGACAGGCGGGTAGTGCCTCAGCTCTGGGGCCGCCCGGTGGGCAGATGTCGGTGACGGCGGCCAGTGGCCCCCTGGGTAATGATACACAGCAGACTCGGCCGGCCAGCCGCCCCCGTACGGGTGTCCCCACGAGGGAGCGTACGTCACTGCCGGGGGCGGTGGCGGCGGCGGCGGCGGCGGCGGGGCGGGCTGAGGCGGCGCCAGCACGCGGTAGCCGGGCGGTGGCTGGCCGTGCGGTGCCGTGGTGTAGCCCGGGTGTACCGGGTAGGGCGGCACGGGCCACTGGGGCGACGAGCCGACCACGGGTGGCGGCGGGCGCGCGGCCGGCGGCGGCGGCGCGGCGGTCAGCGCCGGAGGAGGTGGCGCCGGCGCCGGCGCTGGCCGCGGCGCGGGCGGCGTCGGCTGCGACTTCTTCCGGGGCGGCGTGGGCGACCGTCGACTCCGGCGACTGTCGGCCAGAGAATCACCGCGTTAGCCGAGTACAAACATGAGAATGCACACCCGGCCTGCTCAAGTATACCGATGATAAAGGGTTCGAAGTAGACTGAGTAGCCAGTGCTGATAAGATCGGAACATTCGTGGTGAACACTGGCGGCGGAATTTTCATACGACTCCAAATAATATAGAGCTTCAGCATGGACTTTCTATGAAAAATAAAGACAACAAGCAAACGAAAAGCTAACAATGAACCACCCGTTTCTAACGACAAAACACAGAGAAACCCATTATTGGATGAAACAGCCATTCCACATCACCCCGCTGAAAGGTATGCCCCTCTGCGCCTACCTGCTCCGCGGCGTGGCCAGATCGTTGAGAAACTTGCGCATCTTGCGTTTGTTTGGACTGGGCGAGCGACGCCGCGGCAGTAGCAGGTCAAGGCCAGAGGTCAGGTCACGCAGGTCATCGTCGCCTGAGGCAGGAAAGGTCATCAGTATATAACTGCTTGAAACAGAAAGGTACCATAAAATTGCACCGTCAAAGGAAAGAATGCCTGGTCACGTCCACAAGGTCCTTATCCAGCTATTCATGTCCTCCCATAGCACTTACGCCTTTCGCTGCGCGTTTTCTCGTTCCGGGCGACGATGGTCAGGCCAGCAGTGAGGTCAGATGCATCTGAAACATAGCCCGAGTAGCTATTCATACGGGGCACACCGCTGTCGGCAGAGATGCGCGCGCCGAATCAGCACCGGGGATCGGCGGTCAACGGAGGAGTCTTGCACTAGCTTATCGAGATTTGGGTGCCAACTGCCGAAACTGGGTTGATTTAGTCACGGTTCGATTGTATTATTCGCAAAATATCGATCGGTGAAATACATTAGACTGGTAACACGGAGAGACAACGAAAAAGTTAACGCCGGAAATATAGGAAAAATACACAATGGTTTTGATGTCATAGATGAGAAGGTAGAATGATGGACTTACAGCTATCTTCCTCTGCTAGAAAGTTCAGGTCCAGCTCCGAAATGATGTCGAAGGCCCCGTCACGACCACCTAAAATACACGTTCATAAATAATGATGTCCTGCATCTATTGAACTCCGTTGCCACGAAAGTTCAATGCATGGAATATGCTCCGTTTCAATCATTGTTTACACGTTTGCATACGGCCTATTCAACACACATTGAATATTAATTCCACCTCCAACCTATCATTTCTCGCACACAATCAGATGCATACCTTAAATCCCTACGTAACATAGCAACCAAAGACCGTCGCCATGCCAACGCACACTTAGCAACACATTTACAAAACGGAGCAGAGACTCCAGTGTTACATGACAGCCCCGGCGGCACGTGCCGAATTACATTACGGTTCTGAGTGAGAGCGTACCTGGTTTTCGACCGCGCTCGCGCTGTGGAGGCGCCTCATATCCACGGGAGGAGCCCGCATCCTGGGACCTGCTGGAAAGGGACACCAGACGCCCGGTCATCGCCTATCCGAGGTCAGACTGGGGTGGGGAGAGGGCGGGGTCAGTGGGATGGGAGGGGGACGGGGAGCATGGGGATGAGCCGTGGTAGGGGGACATCAGAGGGCTGCAGGATTAACTGGGCGATGTGCTGTGGGTCGATGTGGTCGGTGTAAGCTGAGGGTCGGTGTGTGCGTTAGTGTGAAATATTTTGGGAACAGGTGTCAGCACTCACTACTCAGTGACCAGGATACACATCCCGAACAAAGAACGAATGGGTTCAATCGGCATCCCCCCCCCCCCACACACACACATCTCCCGGCACCGCTCAATATGGCTGGGAACCTTTCATCCTCGATGCAAATGGTCACAATTATCCGCCCCCCTCAGAAGCACTCTTTAATTAAATTAGGTGTCTGAGCCCCAAGAAGCTTCGTGGCCTGCGCACACATGAAGCCTGCAACTCACACCAATGTCCAGGAGCAGGAAGGAATGGGCTACTCACCCGGGCGGGTGCGCGCCGTCCTCCGCCATCCTTCTGTGCGCCATCTGCTGCGCCCTGAACCGGGCCCGGTCCAGCACAGAGTCGGAGGCGGCGTGCTGCCCCTCGGAGCCCTGCACGGGCCAGGCAGCACCGCGCTGCGCCATATCCGCCCACAGGCTCAGCGGCGCTGATGGAGGAGAGACGTGGGCCAGTCAGAGAGCGAGGGAGGGAGGAAAACGCACAGTTAAACAGCTCAGCCCGCCGGCCATCGGCCCACTGGCTCACCGCTGATGGAGGAGAGACATGGGCCGGTCAGGGAGGGAGAGGTGCAGCTGATTAACTGAGATCAGTCATCATTGGCATAATGGCAGAGGCAGACCATAACACACGGGGGTGGATGGGGGGGGGGGGGGCTCTAGCTCGATTCCTGTGCCACGTAGCAAAATCAATAATTTGATTCAAACTAAAACTTCAGTTTGTACTCTGGGTGCCCTTTTCTGCTGGGGCTACTCTGCTAGGTGTCTCACAAAGAAGGGGCTGCCCCATTTATGCCTGGGTTGCCTACTTCTGCTGAGTGTGCCTCTTCCCCCTTGGGCTCTCTCTTTTCTTAAGCATGCTCCAATAATTTTGGGAGTGTTCTATTTCTGCCTAGGTGCCCATTTCCGCTAGAGATGCCCCACTTCTGCTGGGGCACCCTTCTCTCCCTAAAGTGCCCCGATTCTGCTGGAAGTACCCTTCTGCCTGGGCCCTGGGGCGCTCCACTTCTGCTGAGAGTGCTCTCTTTTACTAGGGATTCCCCTCTATGGGCATCCATCTTCTGCTGGCAGTGGGGTTTCCCTCCTTTGCTGAGCAGTCTCCTACTTCAGCCTGGACTCTTGAGTGTCCCTCTACCAGGGATGCCTTCCATTTACTGGGTGCCCTTCCTTCTTTTGTTGGAAATCGTAGGAGGGGGGGTCATCCCTCCATTGTTGGGTCAGCCCAACTTCTGCTGGGATTAACCTTTTTTCTGTTGGGACACTCCTCTTCTGATGGGGTGCATCTTCTGGGTGGGACAGTCCACATTTTTTTGGGAGTGACCCTTTTCTCCTGCTGTCACCTAGCTTCTCATAGAAAACCCTACTCCAGTAGATGCACTGGTGCCATCTTTTTGCTGATGCCCTTCTCTTACTGTGCATTTTTAATATGGAGCACACTGAGCCCTTTTGGAGTCTGCAAGTGGTCCCACAGTGTATAAAAGACAAAGTATAGCCAGAAAATCAACTTTGCTATATATTCAAGAGCCTGAACAGCAATGGGCAGTATGCAAGGCAGGACACCTCCTGACCTGGTGAGTGGTGAGTAAACCTATGGGCCAAGGGGTGTTGCAATTTTATGAATGGGAGATGGGGACACATTTGTGTGGTGCATCCCTAAGCAAAGTTAGGCATACCCTACTGCCTAGCCAGTTCAGATTTCCTAATGCTGTATACATTGACCATAAAGAAGCATGGACCCTTCCTCAATACCTTGCTGAACTATCCAGCATTACACACAGCTAACACTGAAAACAGCTGTACATAAGGAAGTCTAAACTCAGCTGTGATCCAAATATCAAATCTGCAGAATGCTACCTGAACCAACCCTTAAAATTATAACATTTTACCTTCAAGAAGCAAGGCTTTGCCAACTTTATGGCTCAATTTTCAGAGTTTTTATGTGAGGTGGTGGAGGTTTGGTTTAAGCACTACATCTGGCAGACCATGGGCTAACTGGAGCCTTCATCCTGTTCTAGGCGGCCAGGCAGCGGCAATGCCATGTGCATCACCCAGAAATTGAACCCAGATCAGAGGGCTGTTCACAGGCACTGCATACTGCTGAGTGCAGTGTGTGGTGTGTGCAGCAGGCGTGGGGGTAGGGGATGGGTAGTCAGTATGAAGTCACACGGCTGCGTGCGGTGGACGGTCCACTGTGGCCTGTCCCGACTGGCCACAGCGGTCGCTGTGTGCGGTGACGGAAGGCTGACGTAGGGACGCAGTGGGAGGAGTTTGGAGCCTTGTACGGTCCTACCTCACACAGGGCCCATAAACAGCCGTCAGGATGGCTGATTCTTCAGGCAAGGAGCTCTGACCACAGCAGTCGCTGTGTGCGCTGACGGAAGGCTGAAATAGGGACGCAGTCAGCAGAGCTTGGAGCCTGTGTACGGTCGTACCGCACACAAGGCCCGTAAACAACCCTCAGGATGGCTCAATCTAATCAGGCAAGGAACTTACCCCTAGACCAGAATGCTCCCCATTATGTGAGAGCTGATGCAAGCCACGCATTGAATTGGCTTCTTCCTGACATACCAAAACGCCAAAACTAACCTGAAACTGGCCGCCGCCACGAACCAATGGAACGGGTGTAAACCTTCTTCTTTTGAGGGAATAAGGCCTATCTATGCGAAAATATTAATTTTAAAGGTGATTTACCATCACCATTCCGCGCGGATCCCACATAAAATATGTGACGCTTTCGTCGCTGTTGCGGAGCTTTCACAACTCCGATCAACTTTTGAGAAATATTCCTGTGCGTTTGATTTCGACGGTGCAGAAAGCAGTCAGCTGTTATTGTGCAAATCCCGTTGCGTACTGATAAAAATGAGTTAAAGCTGTCAACTCTGAATCTACACCAAATTCAAAATTTGTTTAATAGATTTTATTAAATATTAAATGGAAAAGAACCAAAGTATTCAAACGGTAAAAACTAGATATAACGGACTTTGAATTCATTCTCTCCCGTTTCTTTGAGTATCAGCTGGCACGTAAATTCCACAATTTTCCTTAGATTGACACCTTGGCTGCATCTGGTATATTTTCACTGTGCTTTGACTCGGGGGTGTTGTTTATCCTCCGCGTATTTTGTAAAAGGTTGTGATATGCTCGAGTGTTTTTGGATTATTTGTACTTCAGACTAAACGAAAAGTACCTACCTTACAAGCGATGAGGTGCTGTTGCAGGTAAATATACATTTTCCTGATAAATGGTCTCAATTGCCCAAGGTATTGCGCAACCAGACAAATGATTAGTTTTTAAATTAAATTTCGACAATAATTCTCGCATGAGCTTTGAGTATGAAAACGAAAAAATATTGTTCAAAATTATAGTAACTTCCCAGTGAAAGGACTCTTCAAACATTTTTAACACTGGTAGAAAATAGGTTGATAGAAATGAATGGGAATATTGATATCTGTTAAAAGGTGTAAGAAGTCAGTCGGGGAAACTGTGGTCAAATCTTCCATTTTTAGAAAGCCTTCCATTTTTGGAAGGATTTTCTATATATGGGTACGCACCTTCCAAAAATGGGTACGCTGACGACGTCATCGTACCCAAATATAGAAAATGTTGCGCATATGTTGGAACTTACCGATTTCCGCCGAACATGAGGCAAATGCGACTATCGCCCCTGGTCGCTTTCTATTTGCCATAGTGAAGTGTCCATAATCTAGCGTGGATGCCTAAATCCTAGCGTGGATGTATTTTAGGTAATTTTTCAAAGTAATGAGTCGTGGAAAATTGACAAAAATTTACCGACAAACGATGGTTTTATAAGACTTTATCAAACATTTTGTAAGCAAAAAGCATCAAAAACGAAAAGTAAATATCCTTAAAAGTACTTTAGTGACGGGCCATGCTTGTTCGATACCGCCGACTTTATTTACAGTGCGGAATTGTCTGGACAGAGTGCGGCGGTTTCGGGAGTGTAGTGGCGAGTAAAACTTGTATTTGTTGCCGTTTTCTGCATTTATTAGCATATTGTGTGGTTGATTTCAATTTTTTAAGGCTTTTGCCAAACATTTGGGTGGAGGTCTCGTCATTTTTCAATGTTTTTTTCCGGAATATGGGACGAATTAAATAGGCGTTGCTGCGCCGTTTTTCGTGTTACTTTCTATCGAAGGAGCAGGAATCTTCAATTTATATGAGGAATAGTAAGTTTAATTTAAACCATTTTTTGTCAGGGCTATAGCTGTGTTCCTCCTGGTTGGTTATTGACCAGCTGTTTTCTCTTCTGAATTTCTATGTGTCCTCTAGAAGTAGAAAAAGAGAGCAGTGCGCCAGGACACCATGCTATTATATCACTATGTACATTGACATAGCATGCCTGTATTACCAACACTAGCACTGCTGCTTCTCCTTATATCAATGATCATAAATGGCAAAATCAACTATTAATGTTACACATTTAAAAAGGCCGTAACTTAAATCAAAGAATGTGAATCACAGTTGGGAACACTGAGATTAGACCTTCCAATTTTGGAAGCCTTCCATTTTTGGAAAATGCATACCCATTTATGGAAGGTCCTTCCAAAAATGGAAGGCTTCCAAAAATAGAAGATTTGACCACAGTTTCCCCCACTGAAGTGTTCCTAATTGCGCTTACTTCTTTTAAGTATTGACATTGCTATACTCTATTTCCTGAAATGCATCTATACCCAGGTTAGGTCATGTGTCATCTTGAATGTGGAAACTCATCAACCATCATAGGTAGGTAGGCAGTTGCCTACCGTTTTACAGTGCCAGAAGTCAATAAAAATATACCTACCTAACTAAAAAAAATTATCATGCCCACATGACAGCATGTGGTTCACCCCACTTACTGGCCACTAGCTATGGCTGCTACCTCATTCACTAACCACCACCATTGCTAGTTGTGTACTCTACAAACAGTGTGTAAATAATTTGAATTTAAAGTTGGCCTTTCAGTACCTACCAGAAACTGATGATCAAATAAGAAGGCAATGGAACAGACTAGGTTGAGGTTAAGTTGTTCATTGCTTCTATCTGCAATCAAAAATTTAGCTAAAGCAGACTTAAAAGAAGCTTGCTAAGCAAATAACAAACAATTTTAGGTACAAATTAGCATCTTGATATTTCACCTTAATTAAAATTGACATTTTATCATAAGTTAAGCAGGCATTTTTCTTTATGTGTAAATTATCATATTCTAGTTTCATATTTTGTAGGTTATGAAGTCATAACTCATAGTCTTATTTCCAGGTACCAAACTAAAATGTTAGTAAAACTGATTCAAAGAAGGCCAAAGAAGGCATAACAGTATGTACTCTCTTTTACAACTTATTAATTGCAATCTCAATATATCTGTTATGTTTACAGTTTTTTTCATTTATTGATCTTAATTGTTATCCCATCATGTCTCTGACAATAATAACTTGTCTGGAAAACACTCTAAACAAAACTCCTGGGGTTAGGTAGTTCTTCTTCTGCAGGCCAGATGCCTCTTCCACAGGATTGTACCCATTTCATGCTCACTCCACAGCCCACAACATTATTTCCTGGCCACTTCTCTTCACAGCAGTTAGGGTAGTTTTCTGGACACTCCCCTTCACAGCACAGCTCCTGACTGTGCCTCCTACACAGGATAGATCCCTGGACCCTGGCCAGTGGCCACACTCCACAGATCTCCACAGTTCCCTGGCTACAGTCCTCTTCAATAGGACAGAACCCTGGACCCTGGCCACACCTCTCCACAGTTCCCTGACCCCGCTTCTACCACAGACCATCCCTCTGACCCCTCGTTCCCCCTCAGGCGGGCGCCCTGAGCGGGCCGCGCCGGACCGGTAGCCGCCGCCGCTGCCGCCGCCGCCGCCATGGAGCTGAAGGTGTGGGTGGACGGCATCCAGCGGATCGTCTGCGGCGTCACCGAGGCCACCAGCTGTCAGGACGTGGTGTACGCGCTGGCACACGCCACCGGCCGCACCGGCCGCTTCACGCTCATCGAGCGGTGGCGGAACAACGAGCGGCTGCTGGCGCCGCAGGAGAACCCGGTCAAGGTGAGGGTGGTCAGCGGGGGAATAGCTGAGCTGGATGGGGTGAGGGGCGATTGAAAGGAATGGAAATGGTTGAGGAGTCGTCCAAGGCTTGGATTTGCTAATGCAATGTCTTGATTTAGTTAAACATCCAATGTGTTTGTGCACTCGTAAATAGCCATAACATAAAACAAAACTTGAGTGCTTAGCATTATGTCCTCTTCCTTCGATTTTGATTCCGATCGTTAGGACAGTCGGAACTATTTATAAACGGAATACAACTCGCTTTCTGCAATCTGCTTAGTTCCGGAATTGAAATGAGACAACTGACTTGCTCTCAGTCGCCTGCATTTATCTTTGTTGAATAAAGATTAGCTTCGGGAATCGTCGTTAAAGGGCGTTTGTTAGACTCAAACTGCTGTTTGCATGTTCTCGAGCAGGTCAACACTAGTTTGCTGTTATAAAAATTGCATATTGTTCACCTGGCTCATGATATGTTGCATGTCGTTGACGAAAAATGTCTAATGACAGGTAAAATAAAGACAAGGTCATACAATCTTACGAGCAATGAACCTGTTGGTAGGCATCAGGTCACCCAGGCCATTGTTCGACTGCGGTTGTTGGGTCGGCACACAGGCCGTATTATATACCGTATTATATCCCGTATTATGTACCGTAAAACCCGTGGCCTGCCACCGGTTTCGGGTCTGACTACCTCGCCCTGCTGTTTCGCCAGGTGCTGATGAAATGGGGCGAGTACTCGAGTGACGTGCAGTTCATCCTCCTGCGCTCGCCGCTGGAGGCCAAGTCTCCGTCCCGCGCGCGCCGCTCGGGCCGCTCATCCCGTGGCCCGTCCGAGCCGTCCCCGCCGAGTCCCGACACCAGCACGACCGTGCTGTCGCCGGAGCTGCAGCGGCGCCGCTCCGAGCTGCGGCTGCTGGAGCACGTGAAGCGCGGCACGGTGGGCGTGGTGCGCGGCGTGCAACAGCGGCCCGCCGACGAGCCGTGGCCGCCGGCCGGGCCGGCCGCGCCGCCGCCCCCTCCGCCGCCCCGGCTGACCGACAAGCCGGGTCTGAACGACAGCGTGTCGAGCGCCGACACCAGTCTCAATACTAGTCACGACCGGGTGCCGGGTCTGCGGCGGGCCGGCGAGGCGGCGCCGTCTCCGGGGCCGCGGTTCAGCACTCCGCCGCCGTACCGGGACCCTCCGCCGCCGGCGGCGGGCCGGGCGGGGCCGCGCCGGCCGCCGCCCTACCGCGAGCCGCCACCGCCGCCGCCGCCGCCCGGCCGGAGTCCGTCCGGCAGCGGCAGCAGCCAGTCCAGCAGCCCGCTGCGTCCGGCGCCGCCGCCGCCGCCGCCGGCCGCGCCCCTCTCTAGTCAGATCCCGGATGGCTCCGGCACTCCGCCCGGACACCCGGCAAAGGTGAGCAGGCTGAACGGCGCCGTGGATGATTGTTACGTCATGTTGACCGCCTCCATGCAACGGTAGATAGGTAGGTAAGTAACAAGATGGGCAGTTGAGGATGAGATTGCGAGTTTCAACATACATCTTAGACCTTAATCGTATTTGGTTGACGGAAGTACATAAACTGGGCTAGACTGGCTCAGATAAAGTTTCGATCAGTCCACGACGTTTTGAGCTTCAGTCTGTCGTTTTCGCTCATTACTGGATGCTTTTTATTTTGTGGGCAACCATAGCTCGCGCATGAACTTGCTAGCCGTGCAGGATTTGCTCAGTTAGGTCAGCTACTCATTTTTCCATGGCTGACCTTTTTCGAATTCACTTCTTGCGCATGCGATGCTTTCTAGTAAATTGTCTTCCTTTCACCATTCGTCCTTAGGTACCTCTACGTAAAAAGCGCGGTTGTTATCGTACTTCTGCTTTGTTCAGCCTAGGTTTCATGGTCATTGGTTGCTGATAGGAAAGAAATCACCGTATATAGAGAATGACGATATTCGTATTTGGCCGACCTTTTGTTTGTGCGATATTCTTACAATGAGTTCCTTAACGTTCTATGCATATGATAAATAGTGATGCGCATTACGCATGGTACGGATACCATGTCATGCAAGTTGTAATGCCCGGTAGCAAATGTCCACAACTTCAAGCTGCATGAATAAGGCGGTTTCATAGGTAGAAAGGCAATCGTGCCCATGAATAGGTAAATATGCGTTCCTCAAATTCTCTATTGCTCATAGGCAGGCAGCTTGCCGAGAATTGGCCGAGCTGCACCATTTCTGTGGTTTAGTTTTAATACATGCGATGCACTATGCCCTGTATGACGTGATGCTTGTACTATCAGGAGCGACACTCCAGCCATACTCGATGAACCAGTTTTGGGTTGAATCACCCGACTGCTCTTTGGTTAATATTGTGTCGACAACGCGGGCCATGTGAATTATCTTGCCGATCGGCATCCCTGCCAGCAGGAATCAGGCCAAGTCTACATTGAGCCATCAGATAACGGATTCAGAATAGACTTAGTCTAAGTAAGCCAGAACGCCGACTAGATGGATTTTTCCCGCTGATTAGCTGTACTCGTAATTTGTCTTGATTGGTGCTGTATTTTTATGATTTAAACTAAAAACACGATTGATGCTTCTGGCTATTTGGATTGAGCAAGTGTTAAAGAACTTAATTTTAACGACAAGCGGACACAGCTCGCTTTCTATTCTCATTATATATTCGTGACTCATAAGCATGCGTGACCACCATGCTCCAACACGATGTGTCCACCTTTGGATCATCCCCCCACGGCTCGTCTCGACGAATGTTGGTCGTGTTTGTCTCCTCCTGGATAAGTCTGATCTCACTCATGTCCTCTGTGCGCGCAGGGGCGCGGGCCGGGCCGGCGGCTCGCCACCGACCAGTATGCCATGGAGGAGGTGGTCTACAACAGTCAGTACCGGGAGCTCCTCTCGGTCGTCAACGCGCAGAAACACCAGCTCAGCTCTCTCCAGGCCGACGTCACAAAGGTGCGTGACGTCAGCGGGTGAACAACTGGTGCTGCCAGATTGACGGGCGTGGGTCGTGGTGGGGATGGTGAGGGTGCGGGTGTTGATAAGACTTTTAGAGTCGGGCTAAACCTTGACAATTATTTATTTGAAATGGGATGGTGTGGGTTGTCTGGTGAGGTAACCGTCAGTCCAGACAGGCCGGTAGTATGATCAGGGATGCGGATCGGCTATTTCTGAAGATAGTGAGGATGGATTACCACCCTGGCTATTGGACCCTCTCAAACTACTACCAGTGACCGCCGCTTGGAATTCCCCAGCGTCGGAGGACTGGACTATCGTTCAGAGCTCCCAGCGTACCCAGCCGCCCCCCCCCCCCCGCCCCTCCTCCCACCGGGAGGGGTTACCGATCGTTCCGCCGGTGTGGAACTGGGCCAAACCGACGGTCGGCTCGGCCTGGCAGCGGCTATTTTCGAGGTTTAGAGCGCGGCCGGTGACCGGTGGCCGTCACGGGGGCGCGCGGGGGGGGGGGAGGGTGGGTTAAGGTGCCAGGGTGGAGAGGATAGGCGTAAGGATGACCCGTCAGAGCTGTGTCTGGAGGGTAACATTGGTCAGTGACGTCTGTTGGAATGACCTGTGGTAGCTTTAGGAGGTCAGCTCAGCTGTGCCGGATGATGTTATTTGAGGCTAGCGCTGACGGTATGACAACACACAACAGATGCGCACCTATCGCTCAGAATGATAGTCATGCGGTCGGTATTTGTCACTTGGTGACGTGAGGCATGATTTCAGGCCTGGACTCTTACTGACATTTAGAACGCACTAATTCCTTATGAAATCAATCGTCGGCCTCGTTGAGCACCAAAAACGTCAACCTATTCATATTGCGTTCCTTTTTTGGCACACAGCGGTCTTCTTCCAAGCCAGGCCTTCCGTCGCCTTTGGCCCCGGCTTATATCGCTGCATTCCCGATGGTAAAAGGTGTTATCGAATGAAACGAGAGCATGTATTGGCTCAACCCGCGTGCAGTGTCACGCACCTATGAAATGACACATTCCACGCCGGCGTGCCCCCGCATCGCTCCGTGTAATACGAACTGCTTGAATCTAGCGCATTCCGCTCCGTACTGCGTGGTGGTTAACCATGTGATATCATTTTTTTTTTCTTCGAAACTGCGAGTGAAAGCAAAGCAGCCTGAACTAATGGTGCTGTCTTTTTCGATTTTCCCGTGGAAGAATGATCGTTTGTTGTGTCGCCGTTATCGGCGCGTCCTTATGTTGGTGTAAGCGTTGACAGTTGTGTTTAACCGGTTACAACATTTGGAATTAATCGTCTACATGACGCGTGTCGCGTATATTTTGACTTCACAGCCAGTGAATAATTACGACACTGTTTCTGTATTTCAGTGTGACGCCGAGATTGTGTACCTGGAAGAGTTTCAGCGAGAGCAGGACGTTCAACTGTCAGCCGTTCGCTCCGAGGCCAGTCGCCTGGAGGCGCTGCTGGCGGAGCGAAATCAGGAGGTAAGAAGTCCCACCAGTCACACCGTTCACTTCTTGACGAAAAAATTCAATCGTCATTGCTACCATGAAGTCTTGTTTTATCCTCGGAGGATGCTTCTCACGTCCTGCCGACTGTCATCTATCCCTATGCAACGAACGGTTCCCCGCGAACACTAGCCCTGTCATGTCCCCTCACACTGACGGCAGCGGCAGTGCTAGTCAGTGGGCCAGTTCCCCGTGGTTTGATGTGGGCTATACCATGACCTGCTCTATTATGGGGGCTGGCCAGCCGACTGTTTTGTGATGCGTCATGGGTCAGATGGTACACGACTGAGCTGGCGGTCGGCTCGCATGCTGCTTGTTTAGCTGCGGTTTCACGTTGCACATAGACGAGGCACCGTCGCGGTTCCGTGTTGGCTGTTTTGATAGTGAGTTTTCCACTGCTTTAGGGGCCCCTAAGAGAGGGAGGCGGGAAATTGTATGTTTGTCGGCTGGTTTAGGGGATTGGTGGAGGTGTTATTGAGGCCAGCAGTTGGGTCAGGGGGTACCGATTTACGTGGTGCACTTGGCGCGGCGTCCAATGCGATATCCGGCTTACACGTGGAAGGAACTACGTCGTATGTGCTACGCATTAGCTTTTTGTGTCGGCGTCTAACATGTGCTGCGCCTCTTGTCATCGCAGTTCGCTGGGTTTCAATACCAGCCTTTTGCTTCACTTAACACTCACATCCTTTTACACCAAACTGTTACATTGTTCTGTCTCTCAAATCTCGTGCGCTTCCCTGCACTCGCACCACAGAATGTCTCCTTCCCAAGTCCTCACCTCCCCTGTGGCCATATTGTCTGACTGAGTTCCCTTTGGACAGATTGCCGAGGCAGAGGAGAAGGCAGAGGAGCTGAGGAGGGAGTCCGAGGAGGGAGAGAGGATCAAGACCGAGAGTGAACAGCTCAAGGAGAAGTTGGCTACATGTGAGACGGAGCTGAAGACGTATTCGGAGAAAATACGGTGAGTAGGGACCGGGTGACGAAGTGACAGCTGTGCATGAGAGATAGAGGATCCGTCCCTGGCTCACGGGTCTTATGGATTTGCGTAATATTTGCTATGAATTAAACTTGCATTGGGATAAACTGTTCGACGTGTTTACGACTCGTAAGATGTCCCTTTGTTGCCTTGAGTCTTTAGACCGGAGTAAGGTCTGGCCCGGCAAGTTCAACTGACTACCCCTAAGGTCTACTCCCTCCAAAATCCACATAGCCCCCCCCCCCCCCCCCGGAACGGAATGACTAAAGGCGTGTCAGACCTTGGGACTGTCACCTTATCCCGTCCTCTTCCTTGGGTCGATATCATCTCTGCATCATGTCCAGCTGATCAGCTCCCACCACGATTTCCAACTAACTCCCCTTCTTCCACTCCCGCAGGGATCTGGGCGAGTCTCTGAAGTCGGAGCAGGAGCGGAGTGACCAAGAGGCGCAGCTGACGCAGCAGCAGCTGGAGCAGCTGGCCGCGCAGCTGTCTGCTCTCCAGGAGCAGTCGGAGCGCACTGAGACGGAGCGCGCCGACCTGGAGACCCAGATCGGCCAGCTGGGAGAACAGCTGCTGGAGAGACAGCGGCGAGTCGAACAGCTGCTCGAGGAACTGAAGACGGTCAACCTGGAGAGCCTGCGCATGTCCGGCACCGAGGAGCTCGCTAAAGTCACGGAAGGTGAGAATCGAGGTACGGTTGTTTCCACAGTCACTGATTGGTGAGCTGATGTGACAGTGGCGGTGTTTTTGGTTTGATTATCGCTTTATTTCTGATATGGTTAGAGAGGAATCCTGTTGGTGTTAAGGGCATTGCAGAATCACAATTTAAGTTTGAGAAGGCCATTATTTGGTGTACTTTTTGGTTTCGCCTTGCCAAACCTGGCGAAGGTATACCGCGCAGTGTTGTACTCATCCACCAGCTGACGTGTTCCTGTGTGTGCCGTCTCGCCAGGGCCGGCCAAGTCGGGTGTGAGTCGGCAGCTGATCGGCTCGCCCCGTCAACTGGAGAGCGCTGTGCCCACCAGCAAGAACCCGCACGGCGTCTGGGTCTGAGGGGCGCCCGACCCCTCCCGAGGCCAGGGAGACTACCCGGCCGCCTGGCAGCGCGCTCGCTGCTGCTTACTGTTCCTGCGTCTAGAGTTTGCCACATATCGACGCCCTCTGCCGCTAGATATTACCGCTTCCGCTCACTAATCGCTCGCTGTTTGGATGTTGTGTGCTGTCGGACACGCTTCAGACGCCGCTTTCTGTCGACGTGGATGTGGCGCTGCTTTGTTGTTCGCGCACATCCGTGCCCGCGCTTTTTGGCGTCGTTGCCGCTTTTCGCTTCTTGTGCTGCTGCTTGAATCTTATTTTCGACGTAGCTTTAGGATCTTGAACGGTACGCACGCCGTTTTGAAACCTAGTACAACATTGTTTGGTTGTTTTCTTGCCTTGACCCCGACTTAGTTTACGCTATTAGTTTTACGTCCTGTCCTGTTGGTCGTGTTTTGTTGTGAGGTCCGCCGCTGGGCGAACACCCCGAGTGGAGCGACAGAACTGTTACCAGATACGTATTTAAAGCATGGACACGACGTGGTACGATCTTACGTTTACATTATATACAATAGCCGATAGGTCTGAGTAGTAATCTTCACCTTTGTGTGTGCGTGTTTAATTGACAGATCAACGTCGTATTCTGTACAGATCCCTATTATGCCGAGTTTTTAGTCGATTTGAGTTGTGTGTTTTAGCTGAGCAAGTATTGCATGTCAACCTATGAACAATCATTATAATCTGTGTTTGAATTCAGGGCTTATTTTAGCGTTTGCACGCCTTCAATTGTGTGTTTATTTACTAGATAGCTAGCTCGCCCCCCAGTGTACATTTGTTTACCGGCGCGTGCCATATTGTCGGCCGGTGCCCCCACTGTGCGCCGGCTCGGCCGTGCTGCTGTGCTATAGACGAGCCAGCGCGTGTGCTGTGCTTCAGATCAGAGTCTGCGGAGGGTAACTAACGCGCCAGACTGCCCCGTTGCGGGGGCAGAGGCGAGCGTGGGGCGTCTTCTGACAATCAAACGACGGCCCGGTCCGCCCCCGGGGTGACCGAGAGAGGAGAGAGGGCGGGCCGGGGAGAGTGCGAGAGAGAATCGACAGAGTGAGAGTGGGAGTTTGTGCGCCTATTTGCGATGGTAATATACAGAAGACGACTTAAGCGGAATTTTTGTAGTCGTGAGAATGACCGGACAGTTATCTTTGCAGCTTCCCGAGAGCAAGGTTTTATCTGATTTGAGAGCCATCCTGTGATGCTGTTCCCGATTGGGGAGGATTGCCGATTGATGGGTTGTGCATTACGACAGAGGTTACTTATGTGGCTTGACGGAGCCCACCTATTGCGTTTCTTCAGACTTCCTTTCGAGCATCGGCGAGCGCCAAAAACCAACCCTAAATTGGGACATAACTAGGACTAAGGAGTTAAACCCAAATGTCATGCCATCAGAGTCCTTATAACATTCTATTGTAAGCAGAACATAATCGATAAAAAAATGTCCGAGATTCAGTTTATTAATCTCTAGTAGCGATTACTACCTACACCACAATTAGTACATCATTTACAAATGTTGCAACGAAATGCAGCTCGACCTTTGGCATCAGGTCACTGGATCTCACCCAATTCGTAGCACCTCACGATGGCAACCTCCTCTCACAAACCTTCACGACACATGTCTTTTGGCGTGCGCACAGCAATAACACAACGCCGAACCATTAACGCATTTAAACACTCAGACTGGAGTCGAAACTCGTTCCAACGCACCACTGGCATCTACCACCTGGCGAGCATTGCTGTAACGCTTAGTGTGCCTACCTGCGTACAGAGGCGCTGCTGTAGACCCAGGTCCGCCCAGGACGGATAAATTAGCCGTCTATGTCGTCTAGCTCAAACGAAGACTGACGATCCATAGCTCGTTCGGACATAAGGAAAACTCGTCCGCCTCCACTACCCAGAGAAACAGATGTTCTCAAAAACAGAAGAACTCCATTCTACCTGATTCAAACATTGCACAGGATTCTGATGCGTGTGGTAGTGCCGGCGCTTGGCGCACTAGTGGTTTCGTTTCGGTCACCCTACAATAGCCGTTAGAATTCACATCCTAAGTCCGAAAGACCAGCCTCCTATACGTAGACTAATCTCTTAAGCACGCCAGCCGGTCATTACACTACCTATGAAACACATGGGCTGAAACCGATATGGACAACAGAAAACGCACATTAAAAACGCCTATAAAACATCACATCTACAACGAAAATGCTACAAAAAGTCAATGCCAAGACTACGACGACAAAGGATTCAGCTCCATCAATTTGTTCACAGTCTCGCGCTGAGATATACAGTCTCTCGACTCGCACTCGAGAAAAGTTCGTGAGCGTGCTGCCCACTCGGCATCTGGCAGACCTGGCATCCAATGGCATTCACGCGGCACTAGAGGTCACAATCCAAAAGGAAAAACGTTGGCTGCGAGTATTAACACTATGAGCATTTCTGCGCGGCTGGTTGCCGACTATTCCGGTTCTGCCACACAGGTGCCGCCGGTACCCGCGGGCGGCCGACCGACCGCCCCTCCCTGCTCCGGTAAAACGCCTCCGCCTGCACTCCTGACCCGTTCTCGCCGTCCGTCCCACAGTATTGCACGTTACGCGGCTCCCGCTCTCACGCGGTGAGAACAGCTGCCGCTCTCACAGCCGCCGGCCGCCGGCCTGCTCACAGTGTGAGCGCCGAGCGGCCGCACTTGGCCCTCTCTACCAGAATCCGGCCTATTGAGCGCTACCTACCGAGCCGCAGCCTGCCGTCCCCTCCATCCGCTGACGGTCCTACCACTCCCGGCGCGGTGCAGCTGTATCGCAGCGCGCCGGCGGACCCACCGCGGCCCGGCCGGCGCAGCTCAGTCGATCGGTTCGCTCCACGGGTGCTCAACACGTCCGTACTGTATGTCAGAGAGAGTGCTGAGGATCCGGTGGGCCAGCGAGGCGTCTCCGTCCGGCGTCGGGATGACAATGTCGCGGTCCATGTACCGCACCCGCTCCACGGGACAGACGACGCAGGCCGTACCGGCGCCGAACATTTCAATCACCTGCCGCCAGAGGCGCCACCGTCAGTCGGACCGTTCAGCGAGGCCGCGCACGGGCCGAGGTTCGAGGGGTCACGGGATGTGGGGATCTGGCGCAGTGCATGATTGCAAGCATAAATGATATAAATAACAGCAAATTAGATTATCCATAAAGCAACCAGTGAATTGTCAACTGAAGAAACAAATCATACATCTCATCGTTCATCAATCCAGCCACTCAATCACATGAACAACTGAAGGCTTTGTTGATGAAACAACTGATCTTTATTATCTCCAACGAAAGCCGCCAGACCTCCAGGTCCACAAATTTAACAGCCAATTCACAGCCGAGCTCCTACTCCTTCTCTCCTTTTCCCACCCCTTCCCTATCATTTGTCTCCCTCTCCCTCTGAGACTCACCCTGCCCTGTTCGGACGCCCTGACGAACTCTCCCATGGTGAGGCGGCGCTCGGAGACGGTGAACTCTCCCCACTGGCGCGCCAGGTCCAGGATGCTGCGGCGCGTCACTCCCGGCAGGATGACGCCGTCCAGCGGCGGCGTCACCAGCTCCCGGTCACCCTGCTCGTTGGTCAGGAAGCAGAAGATGTTCATGGTGCCCACCTCGGTGATCTCGTGGTCCTCTCCGTACAGCCACATCACCTGCTGGAGGTCCTGCTTCTCGGCTACTTTCTGTCGGCATAGCCAGAGAAAGAAGGGGTATGTCACATGATTGAACGAGTCATTGATGGCGGACTTTTTATATGAGTGGTTTAACATGGGTTGACGACACACTTGTAGTGGGAGCTGACCAAGGTCATATCAAGTAGATAGCCTTGAACCAGGCGCGACAAATGTTAAGGAAACATAGCTCAAAAGGGCATGGGTGGGCAAAAAAGATGGAAAGTTACGTTTGAGTTACATAACCATGCCCGGTGTACCGTCAGTCTTGGTAAAATGCACATAACAATATAAACACAGATGGCTTACACCAGCGAAGGATTACACAATATCTGTCATCGTCAGTGTTTTATTTTTCTTCAGGAACTGCAGGTACACGCCACTTATCAGTAATGAGCATACGTCGTATGGCTTTGATTTTGTTTGTCATTTCGAGCCGGGTAAGATGGTCATCATTCTGAGCAGAATGTGTTCGAGTTGTCATTCCTGGTTGAACATTCTTAATTAAGAACATTTGGATTTGAATGGGATTGAGCAAAACAAATCGAGCTGAAAGCAATGTCAAGTGGAGTGTTTCAAGCACCAGCATTGAACGTCGTAAAATGAAAGTCTAGACCATAAGCTAAGAGTCTTTGCACGAACCACTCATAAAATGAGAGCTCTGTCAACAGTCTGCATCTTCGTGCAAAGCCTGATTTCATTCTGCACAACCCTCCCACTCCGCCCCGCCGTTCCGCGGTGAGCGGCAGAGCCCGCGGGCAGTGTCCCTGACCGTCTGACCATTCGGCTCCCCGGCCACATCACGCCACCTCCTGGCCCCGCCCCTCCACCCCTCCCCCGGCCGGGGGTTGGAGGCTCGTCCGGACGAGCCCACCCGACCGCTGCCAACTGGCAGAGTGCCAGCTAGCTACATCGACCGGGCCCGGCCCCCGGTGCGCGGCCGTCTGATCCCAGCCGCCGCGCCGTCCCAAAGGTGTGGTGACTGGTGTGTGTGTCAAAGTCACCGGACTCTGACGTAGAGGTCACCTCTGACTGAGTCAACATCCACAAATAGAAACGATTTTCATCATGTCGATTAAACTCGTTGCTTGCTTGAATAGTATGGTGATGAGGTCATTCAACAGTTTTGCAACATCTTCGCACTTAGGATGACCCATGCAACATGCAACATTGATCTTCAGACATTGTTTACTTTTGATCGAGACTCGCATATGCTCGTTTATCACCAACATCACTACGGTAATGTCGTGGCATGCCAACCATACACACTAAGTACAAATATTTCGAAAGGGCTCTGTTTAGGCCTTGGGGGTGTAACGTATTGCGCAGGTCACCTGAGCAGCAGGGCTATTGCGCAGGTCGCTGACAGTGACCTTCAGCGTGCCAAAGCAATATCTAGCGTCAAAGGCAATATTTAGAAAAGAAAGCTTGACGTGGCCACATAGCCGGATACCTACATAACATCTCGGCCAATCCAGGGATCAATAACATTGTATCTTCCTGTGTAGATTCATCTGGCCATGTAATTGAGCTCTGCCGCGATAGCGCGTCAACGTCCATCTCCGACGCGCACCAGAGCTACTGCCTGCGCAGTAGCCGGCCGGCCCATGGGCAAATCTGTACTCCCCCAGCTGATGTGACCGGGAGGATTAGCCGGCTATTTTCAATAAACGACGCAGAAGCAGCCTGTAGCGCTAGATGTGAGGTTTGGATGAGACAATACAGTAAAACTACATAACGTTAACACGATATTGTGTCCGCGTTGTTGTTTCAAATAATTGACATGCATTGTATCAAAACCTATCTAAGGAAGTGAACAAACCAAACCAGTAAAGAAAATCCTAATATCCATCGTATCACCACCGAGGGAATGCATCGACAGCGATATCGCTTCGCAAATCAAGCACAAATACAAAAATGTAGGTCACCCCACAGCGAACTGGGCAAAATATAACAAACTGCATCGATCTTTACATAACAAATCACACCCCGTGCCCGAGACACCGCACCGTACCACAGTTTACCATTCATACCATCAACCTCATCACCCTCGATCACAAGGAACTCGGGTTCGCACGGTATCCATGACAGAACCCAGTGGACGTTATACACTTTTACTCATTGACCTCACATATGGCAGCAAATTCGGCTGAGGCGGTACAGGACGACTCTGGTGACCCGAGAGTCCATGCGGAGGAACAAGGGATGGACCTCAGTCGTGTCAGAGCCGCCTGGAAGGCTGCAGGCTGGTCAGAGGAGCGACGGGACAGCAGACACCCAGGTAAGGACGCTATAATATACCTGAAGTAGGACAATGTGCTGGTGTTTTTTGATCTCTTTGAACTTGCTGGATAAGAACTGGTCTTGTCCGATACGGTCAACCATATCTTCATCGCAAATTTTGACGGCGTGGGTCTTATCCGTGGTTACCACTGGCCACGATAATATTCGTCCATGGAAGCCTTAAGTCATAAGTCAGAAGCATCTGAACATAGCTTACCGTCTTCAAACAACTTGTTTGGAAGCGGCTGAATTAAGGTCAGTTGGCAGAGGTGCTCTCTCCACCTCGGAGCTATCATTAGGTCCATTCGCTCTGTTGTCAGCCGGGGAAGGTCCGGTAGCTCACTCCCAGTCAAGCACCAGTCTGCCACTGTGGACTAAATATACGCACAGCGTCTCGCCCGTTGCCAGGCACACCATCGTCGTTCAGTCCCTAACCCCAGACGCCCTCTTTGACAGGAGTTAAGAGCGGAAGACACAATGGCCGTGGCAGTGACAGCGGTGGCCGCTCCGCTGCTTCTGCTGGCGTTCTCTGCGCTGCTGAACGACTCCAATCTCCCAGACCCCGGCGGAGTCCCGTCCTCCGCCCATCTATCTCCCGCCGAGAAAGTTCTACACGATGTCCTCGCCTCACAGCGCTCCGTCGAGGGCGAAATCACGTTCCGCCTGCGCCGCGTCATAGCCGAGCGTTTTATTGTCATAGCAGTGTCGCACCTGCGCCGCATTTCGCCGCTGTTCGCCGGAGCCACCGTGGAACACGACGGCGGCGCGTACGAGCACACGCGCGTCTCAAACGTCGCCGATTTCGACATGTACACGATGCTGAACGCCGAGCCGCTGCGCGAGTTCGACCTGCGCAGTGACGGTGATGGTGGGTTTGTGGTTCAGCTCCGCCCCGGCGCGGACCGAGACCAGCTTCCCGAGGATCTCGTCCACATGCTGACAGCGGACGGCCGTCTGGACGCAGGGAAGTTCCATGCGTGGATGACAGAGCGTGTGCTGTTTGCGCTCCGAGAGGCGGCCGAAGAGCATCCCGACCTGCGTCCGGTGGTGTACCAGACACGGGGCGCGCCTGGGGTCAATCTGACTGACTTCAGTGGAGCTAACATCGAGGTGGACTTGACCGCTAAGCTGCCGGTGCCGCCCGCTGGGGACGCTGTGCTCCGACCGGCGGCTCTGCGACCCTGCGGCACGCCGCTGGTTCCGCCCGGCGGACGGCCCGTGTGGTACCTGTTCCCGAACCCCGCCCGCAGCGGAGGGGCGGAGAGTTTCAGCGCCAACGCGCCACGGCTAGAGATGGCTCTGTTGGAGACCCAGCCGCTGCTGCAGCGGGTCATCAGACTGCTGAAGACACTAAGCAGCGTCCACGACTGGCACGACCGCTTCCGCGCCTCCTCGTTCCAGCTGAAGCAGGCAGCGTTCTGGTGGCGCGAGGAGCACTGCGCAGAGACGCGCCTGCTGCCCGCCTCAGTGGGCGTTCTCCGGCGGCTGGAGGAGGCACTGCGCGCCCGACGACTGGAGCAGTTCTGGTTCACAGTGCCGACCGAGTACAGGCTGCGGGAGGAGCTGCGAGCGGCTGAGCTGGCAGACGAGGTGGCACGGTTTGTGGAGGTGCTCACCAGCGGAGACGCCGCCAGGATCCGGCAACTCTTCCGGATGTGAACTAGCTACGGCATTGGAAACACGTTGGAACCACTTGTGAATGCTCCGAGATCGAACCCATCTACGGTATTCCACAGGAAGAGCGGGATGCATTTAAGGCGAGGATATGAAGAATACAATCTAGTATCCGAGGCTAAATCGCGTATGTTCGAATCAAATCTTAAAGTATCAAAGCATGAAAATTAAAAACACACTCACAGCGACCCAAAACAAGCACTATTATAAAGAATAAGTTTCTCATCCTTCCGGCCGCCGCACTTCTTCACTAACAGAAGTTGGATAGAACGAGCCGTGACAGTTCCCTCCCGTCCCCAATCACTGACCTGCACCATAACGGTAGGCGCGTAGTTGGCCCCCATCTTGGCGAAGCCGCAGCCGCCGCGCCACGCGCGGATGTACGCCGGGTCGGCCAGCAGTGAGACCGGCTTGAAGCCCGAGGCAAAGTACGGGCCGACCGGGCCCAGGATGACGTACAGCACCGCGTTGTTGGACGCCGAGACGCCCAGTGTCGGCTGCCGAGTAGAACAGTGGTCAGTATGCAAATAGCTATTGAGCTATTGATGCATGTAACTGGGCTGTCACTAAACAGTGAGTCTCAACTAATCGTCAAAAAGGAACATAAGAAGCCATTATTCTGCATTCAATATCTACCAGACGAGGGGTCAAATTAGCATCAAAGATCACTGACTTTATTCTCTACCTATTCTCAACACTCCTTCCCCAACACGTCATCACACCGTTCCTCGGAGCACTCGCCCTCACACACCTCCGTGCCGATAAGCGTCGGCCGAATGTAGAGACTAGAGGCGGTCGAGTGGGGCACCCACTCCTGGTCGATGGCCACCAGGCGTTTGATGCACTTGGTGAGCTCGGCTCCGTCAAAGTTGGGCAGCACCACCCGCTGTGCCGTGGCGTTCATCCGCTCCATGTTGAGCGACGGCCGGAACAGACGAATACGGCCGTCCACACCCCGGTACGCCTTCATGCCCTCAAACAGCTGGGGATGGAGACGGGGAGCGGATATGAGACGGGAAAAGTACATACAGAGTTAGGTTGTGTCTTGTGTGTAAGTGTGTGTATGTGCAAAAGAGATTATTGAACTGGAAATATCGCATCGAACACCGTCCATCTTAGATTATCTAAGTGTGTTGAAAAACCCTCAATCCTTCAAACTACATCCAAATGTCAGCGGCTCTGTCCTTCCACATCTTCACTTAATGATGCACACAACAGCTAATAGCATCGCACATCATCACCACTCACCGGGTATAATCCCGCGCCGAAGTCATCACATCACCTACCTCAAGGGCATAATGGAGGACCTTGGCGGCCGGGTGGATGGCCAGTGGCTGGAGAGGCGTGATGCGCGGGTTGGCCCAGCCCTTGGCCGCGCACCAGTCGATTGTCAGCATGTGATCGGTGAAGTGCTTGCCGAACACCAGGCTGGAGACGGGCGGCTTCGGCTTCAGCTGGTCCGGCGTGGCCAGCTCCATGTCCATGTCCTCGAACTGGGGACAAGGCGCAGAGAGGACGTCAGGGGACAGCACTGGAGATGTTGAAAGGTGGAGACAGACGACATTATTGATCATATCAGATATTGGGTCTTTTAATATATGACGAGTTTATCATTAATCAACCAATGACATCACGAAACTTAAGCTCATTATCCAGTGTGTCGTATTGCTGCCGAGTGCTTCAAATACAAAACTGCATCTTACCGGTATTTACAAAAGAATGTAAATGCGGAGAATATTGCAGTTGTTTTAAATTACCCCATTTTCAAAAGAAATTTATTAGAAGCAAATCCGCTCCACGGCCCTTGCGAACCACTGAGGCACAGCTGCCTCGGCAAGTCAGACTCCTTTTCATACTATGAGTACCTATTACGAGTAGCTCTCCCCAGCCCCCAGCGACCCATTCTGGCGCGTCGCTACCGTGCTAGCTGAGTTAGGACTGAGAAGGCCGGAGGGGAGGGGAGGGGGACGGTCGGCCGGCGCGGCGTCCGACGTCCGACTGACAGATGGGTCAGCCGCTGACACCTGGCCCACTGCCCCGTATCCAGGCGGCGCCAAATCATGGCAACACGCGCGGCTGGTCGGAACCAGTTTAACACCATGCAGAGTAGTAATAAAAACGGCACATTATATCATCATACAGCCTCGAACCAAACAACTGAAGCGTGAAAGTCGCAGGACCGCATATTGATATTACTATTTTTTCCAGCAGTGTCATCAACATCCTCTACAGCTACACCAATGTCGCCACCAGGATCAGTTGACCAGGCGGCTGACAGGAACGGTGTTACGAAGCCTTTTTTGTCCGGCTAGCAGGGACTCGCCGACCCCAAGCCCAAGATTACTTTCCCCAGCCCACCGTGAAGGGTCATCGATCCAACCGGGAAGGCCCGGCCGACCAGACAGCTGACAAGGTCACCAGACCAGACACCCAGTTTTCTACCACCTAGCGACAGCGACACTACCCAATGCACTGGTCGTAAGAACAACGCGGAATGGCTCTGAGCTCTGACCGTATACAGGTTACCGTGTGCAGCAAAATCTACTCTAAAAGGTGTTTGCTTGCAATGAGTTAGAACGCGTTATTGTTATTCGTTGATAAAAAGATAAAATTTCACTTCGTTAATAATTTAGGTTAGTGTCATTTTCAGAATCAATAAAAAACGGGGTGCGTCCGTTTTCCAGAAATACGAACACCGTCATCGTAACTACACTGTCAGGTCCTCTGAAGCCACACTTCCGAAAAACGAACATCTCACGCAAGTTTCACCTATCCCAAACCAGTCCAACCACCAGGAGCTATAACGTCAAAAACTGTCGTTAAATAATGACAGACCCGGGACCCCGTCAAGCAACGTAGAACTTCAGCCGGTCACCTTCCATCGCCCCAGAAAAGTGCGCCACTGGCGACAAACTGCTTTCATTGTCCGTCCACGCAGCCGGGTGTCGCACGTGTCGCGAGCTGACGGTGGAGATCGCCGTTAGATCGTCACCGGTCCGGCCGGTTCGCCGGTATACGGTACATCGGTGAGACCCCACCCGTGACGTCACACAGCGCGTGGCCCAGATATCGTCAGTGAGCGGGGTGAGGCGGGGTGAGGTTCAGAGACGGTCGGCGGAGCAATGCGGTGGGAAAACGGACTCTGGGTGACGGAGCAGAATGCGATACATTCATTGAATGTACGATAATGTCAGTCGGTGGGCCAATGAGAGCATACATAAATCCATAAATCGTGCATTTAAAGAGCCAGGGAGCTTGCATGCAGCAGGTGTAGTTCAAAATTCCACAAGGAACCAGAAAATAGGTGCGAGTCCAGCGCACTCACCTTGAATGTTTTGTTGAATGACACATGTCGAACTGCCTTGCACGAGCAGCAATGCTGCACACTCAGGATCTGAAAACAGAACAACAACTCGGTTATCATTGCAGGACCCATGATGAGCTGAGATGCAGTTTACCAAGGAATTTACAAGTTCACCTTACAGTGGTGAAAACGAATTTCTACGAAAGCCCGCTTTCCAATTGAATACATTTTATTTGGATTTCCTCACACCTGTCTGAAAGAAAGCAGAGAGTGGGTGGTTCAGGACAGAGAGTGGTGGTTCAGGGGAAGCAGTGGCGGGTCCAGGAGAGGGCAAAAAAGCAACTGCCCTTCCAAACGGCAACATTTCAGCTTCGTGCGCACTTCTTGCAGACTCAGCTGGACTCACTATGTTCGTGGTCAGATATGTGGCGACTGACTCTGAACCCGGAAAAGTGCAAGGTGCTGAGTCTGACTCTGCGGCGCAATCCAGTGATGGCAGCTCACGCGATCGGAGATGCTGTGCTTGACGCGTTCAAGTGATGCGAGATCTGGGTGTATTCTTAGACCAGAGGCTCACGTTTGGCGAGCATTTCGACCGCACTGTTCGGAAGGCCAACATGGCTCTGGGACTGCTCATGCGCACATACGCAACAGGAAAGCGGGGCCGTTCTTTCAGTATGACGAACTATCGGGCCATCATGTCGACTTACTTCGCTAATGTCCGTTCAATTCTGGAATATCGCAGCATGGTGTGGACTGGAACGGCTCAAACACATATGAAAAGGATCGAACGTGTCCAGGGAAAGCTCCTGGTTTGACTCTGTGCCCGCTGCCGTGCACATGTAGGAGTTTCCTTGGTCTATGCTATCATGCATGATACCAGCAGCATGATATCATGTTTATCATCTGCACGTGTTGAAACAGTTCGTTCCTGCGCCTTCAACCGCATACCAAAAGCCAGTAACGCTTTTCCTGATGTGAACAGAGATGTGGATGCCTGGGAGAGCGGCGCCATGGAATTAAGAACTAGAGTGAAACGGCATGTGATGGGAGACTGACAGCTGACGGTGTACCTGCAACCATTTCTGAATTCTGGCAGGTCGGTGAGTTATCAGATTTTACTGTGTTTGTGGTTGTATTTTTAGTGGTACGGGGACCCGCAGTTGCTGCTGTACACGAACCCCAAGTCTAACCGTCTGTCCTGTCCAGTAACAACCGATAACATTGATATCGTTTGCTGGTCCCTGTACACTACAAGAGCAGCTGAGGTTTCCTGTGAGTACCCTCTGACAGCTTATCGTTGTTCCCTGTGAGGGTGCTGGGACAATTTACTCAGGGTCGCTGTACAGTAGCAACTGCAAGTAAGTAGTAAGTAAGTAGCAACTGCAAGTAGTAGCTAGCCAAGTAGTAAGTGTATTGTGTATGTCTATTTGAGTTTTATGCAGACTGCACCTATATACCTATTACTGGATATCTGCCCGTTGGTGCTAAATTGAAGTAAACAATAAGCGATAAACAAACAAACAATAATTCAATTTAATCAAAACCCTAGTCCGTTTCAGACCTAACCACAGAACCAAGCCGATGTTCAGTTGTACTTCCCTGGAAGCAGAAGACTATTCAAATAAACTGTGTCTAAACTGAGTCATGCGTTCCCGAACAAACTACTCCTACATCAGCTCCGACTTTCAAACATCCATCAGCGATCGTGACAAGATGGCAACCCATCAAATGTAAATAATACAACACCCACGATACGCTGCGTGTGACGCCAATGCGCACGTGCCAGGGGATGTCGCAACGCGAGCCGATGACCGGCAAATGTGCCTCGGCCCCGCCTTCCGCGGCGCACATGCGACGTTACCCGATCGGTGCAGCTGTGAGGGGCGGGCCGGGGCGGGCAGCCTGCCAGCGCTCCCGCGCCGGCTGACGCCAGGTAGGCACACGCGAACGTCAGGCGGTGGCTGACCCGCCCGAGCACGAGAGCACGTCAGATTGGTTCACCGTTTACATAACTAGCAACGGTCGGTATTGTAGTAACGCAACAGCGATACAACTTCGATGCATTTACGATGCAGCTAGGGACATTGTTATCCCGCCCCTATGTAGGGCAGCATTTACTCTCTGGACTCACAGAACACCCTGACGAAAAATTTGGACACCGCTGCGTCACTCATTGATTTCCAAAATAACGATCTAGTGACAGACCCAGGGTGGGTAATACCTTCAATGACAGGACGGTCGGTGAAATCACGTGACTTGGACAGTTGGCTAGGCCTGGTGACAGCTGAGTTATTGATGCTACGAGCTAGGACGCACAAGTCAGGCAGGAGAAGGGTCAATGACTCAAGCAACGGTGCTGGGTGAGTCGGTAACAAGGCAGAACACGGTCGTAGACAGAGGTCTAAAGTCGTTGACGAGGTGATGGATAATGACGGATAACCGGGTTCAGCAGCCGATGCCGGATATCCGATTAAATAATCGAGATATAGCCGGGTGGCCAGTTCACATACGTGCCCAATGGTGTCAGCTGGCAACTGCTCCGTTCAAATAACCGCGTCACGTCTGACTATCCGGCGGGTCAGGTGACTGCAAGTGGTAATGACCCAGCCCAGGGAATACAGCTGGCCATCAGTACAGCAGGGAGCAGTGATCAATAGTATTCATGCAGCTGGCCAGTGGCCAGTGGCCAGTGGCCAGCCACTGGGAGAAAGAATGGAACATCAACACTCTGATACAGGATCTGTGATAGATGCTTATTGTTCAGTCACTGACAAAAAAAAAAAAACTCATTGTCTTGTCATTGCCACAATAGTTGCAGCATGGGATCAGTGTCCCAAAATAGTATTTTGGCTTGGGTGTCAGCTGGGAAAATTCCTCACCAAAAAAGGGCATGGGTATGGGAGTGGGAAGTTGTGGGCCAGATAAGACCCAAAAAAAGTGAGAAAGTGATCAGTAGCATATCTCTACCTACAAGTGTGGCTGCGTAGTAGGATGTAGGATGTAAAACAAACCTCCACATACAAGGTTTTCTTCCTTAGATTAATTGGGAGTGGAAAATCACTCTTAAAATTTGGAGGTGAGTGAAAAATGATTCATTTGGGTGTTGCTTCCCATGCAAATTGACAAACTTTAGGACACTGCATGGTACATTGCTGGAAACATTCTTACACTTGCCCATTGAAACCTTCCGAGCATAGCCAAGGTAGATTTCAAAGAGCCTCAAACTACCTGTGGGCACCCGCTTTAACTGTCCACTGGTTAGAAAGGCTTAGCGGAGGTCAAAAACCAAGGGGAACGGAGCAAGCAATGGTTCACAGCATCGCCACTCCACACATGGTGCAAAATGAAATTGCAAGTGGCTTGCACAACAATAATGCCAGGGCAGGGTTGGTGCTAACCACAAACACCCACAACATGAAGACTGAACAACCCAGCATTAACACTTGATTCTGCACTGACACCTTTCAATTTTGACTGATTGGAGTCAACTTGAGCCTAAAATAAGAACTAAAACATCCTGGAAAATGATTATTTAAGTTCCAAAAGTTATTTGCGTTATTTTCAACTATAACTCCTCATGGAAGAATGATGTAAAGTCAAATGTTTGGCTATAATTGTAATGAGACAAAATCATAAAATGCAAGGCATGGAATATGGCAGGAATCAGTTAAAAATCAATGAAAGACTTCACATTTTATGTTAACTCACCTTCCTGGCAGATCTAAAAGCAGGAATATATACTGAAGCCATTAAAGACCACACTTTTCACAAAAACTTCACAAGAAGTCTTCTTTCAAAGTCGCACCGACAGTCGACACAAACGGGAAATTGACTCAAGTACCACCGATATTCACTGAATATTTTCCTCAATATGTTATCTTGGCCAGCACAACACTCAACAAAACTTGAAAAAATGCCGGCACAGCACACGGGAGAGAGACCTCCGCACAGCTTCACTCGCAAACGACTTCTGTGTATGCTGGAAGCTGTTTGCGTCAATAATGGCTGTAGTGCGCCATAACTGACTTGCAGTGGCCTTGTGGCCTTGAAGAATAGTACTTTTCATTTTTATTTTAAGTATTTTTATTTTTGGATAGCAAAGTTTCGTGTTGAAAATGTGTCTGTCAAGCAAAATAACTTATTTAAAATAATTTTCTCTACAAAGGTAAGAAAAATATAATCATATCACATCAAATAAGTCATGCAACATCACGAATGTAAGAGTTCTTTCGAGCTTTCACGCCGTCTATAAAGATCGTAGAGAACTATTTGGGCTATAGATGACGCTATACGCTTATTTGCGTGGAAACATACAGCTTACCCGCACGAAGGCGCCAGGGCTGAGGGCGGGCACTATATATTGACAAATGACAATCGCCGGCACACCGTTCCGTGCTTCTATCCTCAGGATACTGAAATCCTTCTCCTCCACGCCGCAACCCCCCTCCGGACTGGACAGGCAACTTTATCTCATGCGGGCTGCTCCCTTGGAGCGGCACCGCTGCTCCCGAGGCCAGGGAGCGCACCCCGTAGCCGGGTGCAGTGATTGCCTTGGGGCTGGGTGGCCTGTCCTCTGGACGGGCTCAGCCCCGGCGACTCACTAGGGTGCCTGCCCAGACCAATGTCTCCCCCTATATCCTATCATCCTCCCGGCTCTGAAATGGTCTCATTGGACCGAAAGGGCCTAACCCAACAAAACAAACAAACAAATCGCCGGCACTCCACAAACACCCGCTCCGTGCTTCTATCAGGATACTGAAATCCTTCTCCTCCACGCCGCAACTCTCCCTCCTACAGGTAATTAACCTGAACTGAACCAGGGCGCTGGGACAATCGTAATCGATATCGAGACAGGGTGGGGTGGGAGACATCACAACAATTCCAGGAAAACTACCGAGAATTTGACAGACTCCGACTCAGCAAAGGTCTAGTGCGACTCCACAGACCTGATTCTCAGGCCTGCTGCTGAACTGATATAGGTACGGCTGTGCAGGTCGCACTAAACATCCCGTGGTCCTCACATCTGAGCCATGGTCATTCGGTCGGAGCTTGGTCGGACTGATATAGCCGTCCATGTGAAGAGTTGCAAGCCGCAGCCAATCAGGCCTCATCCGGTAGATATAGACCCCGTGCTGCCTCCGGATGTGTGCATCCTGACCGCGCTGTCGCTCGAGTCTCCTGACCCGGCAGTGTGGCGCGCCATCTGCTGAGCTGTGAGCGCTCCGCGCTGGCTGTCCGCTGGTCACTCGGTGCCTGTTTCAGCGGCTGGCGCCATGGCTACACTCGTGTCTGCGCTGCTGTGCTGCGCGTCTGTGGTGCTGCTGCAGCTGGTCGCCATGGCGGGCGTGTCTTCTGGCGCAGCCCTCAGTCCAGCCCAGCCCGCCGTCACTGCATCCCCCAGCAGCAGCGCCGAGCCGAGCTCCACTTCTGCTGCTGAGTCCCCAAGAAACGGTAGCAACGACGAGAAACGCCAATACGACTGGGGCAAGGTGCTCAACATGTTCTTCGACCTGGTAACGAACAGCAGCAGCGCCGCATCTCGTCACCACTTTGCAGAGCTAAAGAAGCAGCTGAACGACCTGTCCACCGGACTGCACCAGGACTCTCAGTTGTCGACGCACAGCTCAGAGGCCATCGGCCGTCTTTTGGCTGGCTTCGAGGGCCTTCAGCAGCAGATACAAGAACTCCAGACCGCACAGAGCGGAGTGCAGAGCGAGATGGATGAGCTCCGAAGCGGCGTCGCTCAGATTCGGGATGTGGTGACTGAGATGATGCCTCTGCTGGTCTCTGTTCATCGGCAGGTCCTTCTGTCCTGTCCGGACAACTGGAGCCGACACGGCGCCTCCTGCTTCCTCGCTCCTGCACGGAGCGTCACGTGGCACGACGCCAATCGCACCTGCGTCCAGAAGGACCGGCGCGCCCAACTGGCCTCCATTCATGAGGACAATGCCGACTTTATCCGCCAGCTTCTCAGAGAGACCCAAGGATCCAACTTCTGGATCGGCCTGAGGCGGAGCTATGAGGATCCAGGCTGGGCCTGGACGGACGGCTCCCCACTGGACCACACCGCCTGGCGGGCAGGAGAGCCCAACAACGCTGAGGGCGAAGAGAACTGTGTGCACGTGAACAAACGGTCACACGGTTTACAGGACTGGAACGACATCGAGTGCTCCCGACAGATGAAGTATCTCTGTCAGATCACAACCCGTCAGCATAAGACGCCCTGGTAGCAAGGGCTGGAGGAGCCCAGTGAAATGGCATCGTCATGTTCGTATCGTGTCTCATGCATTTATGTCGTGTCTACAACTGTCATCATGACTCTATGTAGTCTCTCTCATACAGTCGCTTGACTTACTTTAATTTGAAAATAGCTGTTCGAATACGATTACGCGGATAATAATTGCGATAAGGACTCAAGGTCGAGTGTTGCCGCGACGCTGTGGTGACCGATCCAGAGCTGCCTTGCTACTTCATATGTGAGGCACTGAAACGTTCTAACGTGCCAGCTTATTGACTTGTCAATGTCTGAGCCATGCCTGTGTAACAATAAGTTATTGTATCTGGTAGCATCTTTACCCGCGTTTCGGACTAAATGTTGATTGTTGATTTAGCCGCACACAATACAATTGCAATCAACTTGTTTGGGTCTTAATACGATTGCCAACATGCAGTGTTTGAGAGGAAACAAGCAATTTAGGTATCGGTGTGAAAAGTTTTCCTGGAATAATAGACAATAGTGACCACATTTTTGTCACGCCACCCATGTATGATGCGTATAGGTAATTGAGACCTTGCAGCAACGAAGGACACGCAGTTACTAAATAGGTATTAAGCCGCGAGTAGGTAAAACAAAGCTTTTAAACGTCGAGCCGATAGGCGAGACGTTTAAAAGATTTTTTACCACGAGCGGTTTAAAGGGACCCTCCCACCTTCAAAAAAGTTAATGAATTGGCATGAAAGTGATGTCGCTCGGTTCAGAAAGAGCAAAAACGAATATCTACCAAATGAATATTCACCGGTTTTCAAGATATTAGACTTTTACTTTTGTTTACTTTTTGGGATCTCCGCTGTTCCTAGCGACTTTATTTGAAAGTGCGGCATTTGTTGCGCGCAAAGCAGCATATACCACCGCGTGCTACAAAACATTTTAGTCAAACATTTAAAAATCGTTAGATATCTGCGATGACGTCACACATTCAGAGGGGTATTCCTATGCATTAGCCCCTCTGAATCAAAATGCTGCAATTTTGAAATTCAATATTTCCGATTTAAGGCATTTCTCGATGTTGTGAGTGCCGAAACCGGTAATTGTGAGCCAGGGACCCCATTTTGGCTATCTCAACTCAAATCTAATGTTAAGGTGGGAGGGTCCCTTTAATAATTTTATCCCGTACCGCCGATATGTTTCGGGAGCTTAAAGATAAAAATACATTTTATATAAAAAAATGACATAATTCAGACTTAGACGAAATGTCTACTAGACGTTTAACATTTTGTTAATCGTCTAGACGTTAAACAAATCAGTTAAACGACATCTGATAATTTCCTCTCTTATCACGTGAAGCAATTGTAAACACTAGCCGTTTTCACGACGGCGATCTGGTACACATCTGGTGCACATTTGGTGCAGATTAGGTGCAGCTTTGGTCAAATCAGGTTCAGTGTGTCTCTTACTAGCTATCAGCTAGGGTTGCACTAATTGCTTATATGCCTGCTTTGTCATATTATCAGAAGTAGGGTAACTGTGGGGAAAACGCACCCCTGGGTTAAACGCCTCCCCTAAAAAAATCGTATTTCTTATCGACGGATAGGTGTTTTATCCTGTCATTCAGAACAGTCAGCTGCTTGTTTACGTAGGTCTCTATTTCCGGTTCTGGGTCTTGAGGAGCAGCGTGGGTAGGTGCTGATGTTGGTTTTGGATGTTGTTTTTGTTGTTTTTGCAGAAGATTCCTAATATTTTGATGCCCTCTTTATATCACAAACCTTGCTATTGTGCACATCACTCAAAACTGCGTTTTATTGTCATTCTGTTGAATATATTATGCTGCGGCGTTAGTGGCGCGTTTTTTGTCAATATTTTGTTGACCGGAAATGGAGTGGATGGGGCAAGACGCCTACTCGATGCATGGGGCAAGACGCCCCCAGTTTTCTGAAAGGGGGCGTTTTGCACGGTGGTGAAAGTGCAGGGTAGCGCCCTGTAGGTCGGGGCCGAAAAGGCCTCTCCCTGTCCTTTTTTGCTGATATATCCTAAACGACTGCAGATATCGTCACCAAACTTTCAGGACTCCTCCGGGCATCCATTTTACACATTGCAACAAAATTTTATTCCAAAGGCTATGATAGGTTGACCACAAATGACGTCAGAACGACGTCAAGTTCTGCCATGTTCATCATTTTCTGTTGATAGATGGGGTGGGGGCGCTTTGCACATGGGTGTGGGCGTATTACCCAGGGTATGGGGCAAAACGCCCTTTTGCAAGGGTACGCGAAAACCTTTTTGGGGGGTTAAATACCACACGCAGGTGTCTTTTCTTGGTCTCAAAACGTAGTAAAAAGAATGAGCTACATGATGGTGCCCAAAGGTTTAAGTAATCTGTGTTGGGTTGAGTGTCAGAAGGTTTCGCGCTTAAGGGGGGCGTTTTTGACCTATTCACCCTATCATCGATGAAAACACTGAAATAAATTCATAAGATACAGATATTTGCTGTAAAAGAGATTAGGCGTAGATTTGGTCAAATTAGGTGCACTCGCCGGATAGCCCGTCGTGAAAACGGCCACTGTCTACGGTGCGGGATAAAATACATTAATGTTTCTCGAAACCAGTTTATGATGTTGAAATATTTACGTGGTTCGATTTACCCAATGAGCTTTGGAAGGCACCTCACAAATCAAGAAGCACCTAGACATCAGCTTACAAACAGTAGGGGAAGTTGGGGGAACGCCGAAGACTTTTTTCTGACGCCCGTAGCACGCAAGGTAGACAACATAAGCTATTCTTGTTGGCGTCATTCGAGAGGCCAGTCTTTTGCCTTTCAAACATACCAGGCGCATTTGATGAATTCGCATACCGTTAAGCGCACAAACTAAAAATATCAAAGAAGTGACTTTTTCGGCGTTGCCCCGGACTGCGGGGAAAGCCGAAAATGGGAGAAATGATCTACGGGGAATGCCGACATTGATGTTTTGCCATTTTATCTCAAACTTTATCCAGAATTGATCAAAGCTGACACGCGTTTTAAGAGCTTGAGGACGCGGTGCACACTGGAAGTTATAATTGTGTGATATAATAAGAACATGCCAGGTAAATCATTCCTTATAGGTAACAGGCCGTTGTGTCGGTTGAAAGTGTAAGTTGTGTGACTAAAAATACGCGTTGCTATTCTACAGCAGTAAAGTCCACGTAGCGTGCTTTTAACACGTGCGTAATCGCACGTTTTCGGCATTACCCCAGCCTGCCATACTTTCATTTGCAGGCCCATAACTTTTCAACGTGCTGTATAAATTTCAAATAGGCAGCACACTTATGCAAAGACATGCTAAAGATTACTTGACCGAATTGGCCAGACAAACGGTAGCATAATGAGTAAGAAATGCAGCTTCAAAGGCGCATGTAGTACAAGGGAAACGTATCTTGAAAACGCTCTTGGCGCCCTCACAGTCGAAGTATTCCGAATGACGACTCGTAACAAACATGCGATAATTGTAGTCACTTAGGCTTCAGAGCATCACTGACAGGTGGCATCCATGTCTTACGGCTTTCGAAATATCTCGAATTTCGGCTTTGCCCCAACTCCGGCATTGCCCCAACTTCCCCTAACCTATTACCAGCACCACAGCCCACAACCTTGAAACAAACCTCAGACAGACACTAGTTACACATTACTCTAGGGACAGAACACCGTCATCTCGCATGATGTGACGGTTTGGTCGTGCTTGTGCGTACGGCGCACCGTATCAACTATTTGTAACGACGACTGTGACACTGATATGCTCACATTAGGTAGGACCTGTGGCTAGTTCCTCCCTAGTTCCGCCCGTACCGGTAGGACGCGTCCGGTCCGGCGCCGGAGGTGACGGATCCGCGTCCCTGCTGCCCTCCGGCGGCGTCCGGGAAGCGCGCCTCGCCCTCGTACTGCACGTCGGCCACGAAGCCCGAGTCTCCGTCCACGGCGTAGGAGACGGTCTGCAGCCGGCCGTCGGGCAGCAGCACGCTGTACTGGCCCTGCACCTGCTCGCCGTTGGACGCCTCGGCCGCGCCGTAGTCGTTACCGAACACGTCCAGCACGTCGTAGCTGAACGAGTACGGCCGCGGCGCCGGCGTCGGCTCCGGCCGCGCCCGGGCCAGCGCCGAGCCGCGCGCGCTGAGGGTGCCGCCGTACCGGGGAGTGTAGCGAGCGGCCGACTGTCGGCCGCCGCTTCCGCTCGACTGGGAGCTGTAGAGGCCGGTGGAGGAGCTGTAGCCTCCGGTGGAAGGAGCGCCAGAGTCTCCGTTTGTCTGGGAGTAATAGCCCCCGTTGGACTGGGAGAGACCTCCGTTAGTCTGCGAGCTGGACCCTTCGTTAGCCTGAGAGTTGTAGCCTCCGTAGTTCTGGCCGGCCCTCCCGTTCTGCCGCGAGTAGCCTCCGTTGAGCGGTTTCAGTGTGGGCTCGAACGGCCTCCTGCGGGACTTGAGTCCGTACCCAGCTGAGGTGGTGGCCGGTGTGTACTGGGACTGGGTACCGGCCGAGGTACCGTACCGGTACACCGAGGTACCGGACTGGTCGGCAGCGGCCACCGCAGCCAGCGCAGCGAGCACCAGGAGCTTCATGTTGGAGGAATGAGCTGTTGAAGTGGAGTGTGACTGAGGCCATCTATGTTCGACTTTTATACCGTCTCTAACACATATACGGCTCTGTCTTATGGGACACCAACAGACGGAGCCGCACGAGGGCCTCGGGCGCTTCACGGAGTCGCGTCGGGTACGACCGCCTTTCGACATCCGCCGTTTGGCCCGATCGTGCGGCGTGCGCGCGTGAATGCTCTACAATGTGAGAAAAGTGTTATCTGACCAGGAGCTCCAAGGGCATGTATGTAGAGTGTCTCTATGTTGGGAATGCTTCAACACTTACCAGGGCTGCTATGGCAGAACATTTTTCTGCCAGAAAATGCGACTTTTAAGCATAGAGAGATCACCAATAGCATACACTGTAAAAAAAATTCACTAGCTAATTTTGAAATTAGGCATTTTTTA